TTGGACGGGGCTTGGAGCAACCTGGGCTGGGGGGAGGTGGCCCTGCCCAGGGCAGGGGGTTGGAACCAGGTGGTCTTTAAGCCCCCTTCCCACCCAAACCAGTCTGTGGTTCTATGATCCCTGTCCCACACGGTGCTCTGGCTCCCAGCCCCCTCTCGCTTGCCCTCCCTGAGCAGATCTGGCTCTCCATGTGTGTGGGAACACGGATGTGCTCATTCTCCGTCTCTTCCTGCAGCTGGTCGGAGGTGTGGGGCGAGCAGGGCTACATCCGTCTGCTGAAGGGCGCCGATAACCACTGCGGGGTGGCCAACCAGGCCAGCTTCCCCGTGCTGTGAGCCAGGACGGCCGTCCATCCATCCATCCCTCCCCGGGGCGTCTCTCCTGCCCTGGCTGCCCATCCACGGCTGGTTCCTTCTGGAAAGGGGCTTTTGTTCGCATGCAGTGAGCGGCAATTAAAAGTGGCACGGCTAATCAGCTAATCGTTCTGCGCCTGCACATGGTGGCCGGGCAGGGCTTGGTGGCCCAGCTCTTTTAAAAACCGAGTTTTACCCCATTAAACCTGCGTGACGAGGCAGAAAATGAACCTCTCCCCCTCACCGCCCTGCTTTTTCTTTCCTCCCCTTCCTGAGTAATTTGGGGGATTCGGTGCCAGGCGCAGCCCAGCAGCCTCGCGGGAGGCAAGGCCGGGGTGAGAGGGGACACGGGGCACGGCTGGCGGCAGCGTGGGCTCCCCAAAATGTCCCACAGCTGTCCCCTATGGGGGGCAACCACACGGCAGAGCGTGGCCCCAGGGGCCGTGGCTGGGGGGAGGCTGCTGTCTCCGTACCCCCTTGCCCCGTATCCCAGTGGCTCCGTGTCCCCACGGTCTTGTCCCCCCCGCGGCCTCCCAAGGGTTAACCCGCCCGGGCTCCCTGCCCACACCCAAGCTGGCCGCCGGGGCGCCCGCTGAGCGGTCGCGGCCCGCATTGACCCCTCCCGCCCGCCGTAGCCCGGGCTTCCTTTCCAAGATGGCGGCGCCCAGTGGGAGGAGCGGCCGGAGGCTGTGGGCCGCGCTGGTGCCCGCCGCCCTGCTGTGCCTGGCGGTCCGGGCGGCGGAGGAAGCGAGCACGGCCGACTTCGACGTGCGGCCCGGCGGGGAGGTCCACCCCTTCTCCCGGAGCCTGGTGAGAGGAGGGGAGGACGGGGGTGAGGAGAGGCTACGCGCCTCGCTCTGATTGGCTACGCGGCACGTCGCTCCCGCGTCCCGTCACGGGGATTGCCTGCCAGCGAGGGAAGGCGGGCGGAGCTGGTGGTCGGGGTTGGGGCGGGAGGGGGGGATCTGGGCCGGCTGTGAGGGGCGGGGGGAGCCGGGCGCTGAGGGGGGAAGGGGAGGGGGTCCTCGAGGGGGGTCCCCAAGGAGAAGGAGGTCCCCAAGGGGGGGCTCTCCAAAGGCAGAGGGGTCCTCAAGGGGGGTGGTGGTGGTGTCTCCAAAGGCAGAAGGGTCCCCAAGGAGGGACGGGGTCCCCAAAGAAAAGGGGGTCCCCAAGGGGAGGGGCTCCAAAGGCAGAGGGGTCCTCAAGGGGGGTGGTGGTGGTGTCTCCAAAGGCAGAAGGGTCCCCAAGGAGGGACGGGGTCCCCAAAGAAAAGGGGGTCCCCAAGGGGAGGGGCTCCAAAGGCAGAGGGGTCCTCAAGGGGGGTGGTGGTGGTGTCTCCAAAGGCAGAAGGGTCCCCAAGGAGGGACGGGGTCCCCAAAGAAAAGGGGGTCCCCAAGGGGAGGGGCTCCAAAGGCAGAGGGGTCCTCAAGGGGGGTGGTGGTGGTGTCTCCAAAGGCAGAAGGGTCCCCAAGGAGGGACGGGGTCCCCAAAGAAAAGGGGGTCCCCAAGGGGAGGGGCTCCAAAGGCAGAGGGGTCCTCAAGGGGGGTGGTGGTGGTGTCTCCAAAGGCAGAAGGGTCCCCAAGGAGGGACGGGGTCCCCAAAGAAAAGGGGGTCCCCAAGGGGAGGGGCTCCAAAGGCAGAGGGGTCCCCAAGGCGGGATGAGATCCCCAAAAGAGAAGGGGTCCCTAAGGGGGGGTCTCCAAAGGCAGGAGAGTCCCAGGGAGGAGCGGGGGGTTCTCAAGGAGAAGGGGGTCTCCAAAGGCAGAAGGGTCCCCAAGGAGGGACGGGGTCCCCAAAGAAAAGGGGGTCCCCAAGGGGAGGGTCTCCAAAGGCAGAGGGGTCCCCAAGGAGGGACGGGGTCCCCAAAAGAGAAGGGGTCCCCAAGGGGGTCTCCAAAGGCATAGGGGTCCCCAAGGAGGGAGGGAACCCACAAAGAGAAGGGGTTCCCCAAGAAGAAGAGGATCCCCAAGAGGGGTCTCCAAAGGCAGGAGAGTCCCAGGGAGGAGCCGGGGGGGTCCTCAAGGAGAAGGGAGCATTTAAAGAGAAGGGGGTCCCCAAGGGGGGGATCTCCAAAGGCAGAGGGGCCCCCAAGGAGAAGGAGGGTCCCAAGGAGAAGGAGGGTCCCAAGAGGGGGTCTCCAAATGCAGGAGGGCTCTAGGGAGGAGGAGGTGGGGTGGTGTCCCGAAGAAGAAATGGGTCACCAAGGAGAAGGGTGTCCAAAGGCAGGGGAGTCCCCAAGGAGGAAGGGAGCCCCCAGAGAGATGAGGTTCCTCAAGGAGAAGGGGTCCCCCCAGAGGGGGTCTCTAAAGGTAGGATGGTCCCAGGGAGGAGGTGGGTCCCAAAGGAGGAGGGGCTTCCCAAGTGGAGGGTCTCCAGCAGAAGGGGGTCCCCACGGAGGGAGGTTTGCCATGGAGAATGGCCCCCAAGGGGAAGGGGCAGTCACCAGGGGGAAGGGGGCCTCAAAGAAAGAGGGTGCCCATGGGAAGGAGGCTCACCAAGGGGAAGAGGCCCTATGGAGAGGGGGCCAGGGGTCCCTGGGTCCCCAGAGCACGGGTCCCCACCCCAGCACCATGGGGTCCTGGTGACACTCCATGGGGGATGAGGGCTGCACAGTCCCTGGCTCTGTGCTGCAACGAGATCCAGGCATGGACATGGTACGTGCTCCTCCTCGGTCACCCCCAGGGTGAGACCGCTGGGGGCTGCACCCTGCTGCAGCCTCAGTAATTCTCTCGGGTGTCCCCACATCTCCCATCACCACCAAGAAGTGGCTGATGGTGAGCAAAGAGAAGGTCCTGCTTGAGCGAGGCTGCTCATCATCTTATTCTCTTCCAGGGTGATTACACCTGCACCTTCACATACTCAGCTCAGGGAGGAACGAACGAGGTGAGTTGGGCAAACCTTCAAGTGTTTCCCTTACGCTCAGTCCCTGCACAGAGCAAGAAGCTGTTCAGGACAATTTCATTTGTGATGACCTGATTACCGGGACCGGGAGCTGTGAGGAGGGGTGGTTGCACCATTTCCAACATGGCATGTTTGCAAAAATAAGTTGCTGGATTTACTCTTTGAATGGGAGCGTCCTTCGTGTGTTGCGGTGATGCTGTGGTTTGTGAGGCCGTGACATTTGTAAGGCTTAACAAATCTCTGGGCTGGATGTCTCTGGAGAACAGGGAGTGACATTTTCGTACCCCAATTGGTAGGAAGGGCCTCGAAGCATAACTCCTGTGTTCTTCAGGAGCCTTGAAGGTTTTTGCAGCTCGTGGTGCTGCTGCAGTAAGTCCTCTGCAGATACACAGTTTGTACTTTCTTATCTGCAAGTCCGGTTAGAATCAGGTCTTTCTAGCGCAAAGGGAAATGAGACTTTAGCTCTTTTCCATGACTGTACTAATGAAATCATGGAGAGGAGAAGGCAACCAGGCCTTGAGCTTTGTGCAACACAAAGTAAAAGGGGCCATCAGCAAGTGTTGTGTGGTTATGTTGTGTTATTTTAGAGTGGTTGGAACTTGTCAGGCCTGCAGCTGGGAGAGGAGGTGACTGGCCTCGGGTGAGCGGGAAGTGCAAGGCTCCTCCGCACGTTAACTGTTTGGACCTTTCTCCTCTGCAGCAATGGCAGATGAACATCGGAGTCAGCGAAGACAACCTGCTCTTCTCCTGCTCTGTCTGGAGGTGTGTTCTTTAACCCCGAACGCTCTGAGGCAAAAGCAACAATGAGGCAGGTGGGATCTGGGCCAGGGACCCTGCCTCCCGGCTGGGTTTGCCTCGCTGCGGGGCAGCACCGGGGGGACTTTCCCCTCCTGAGAGATGCTGTGACTCCGGGTGGGCTCCTTAGCCAGGCGGTGGTTGATAAATGCTGTGTTCCCCCCTCTCCCCCCTCCTCACTAGATGGAGCTACAAGAGAGCCAGAGGTGGCTGTGGCGGGAGGGAGCTGTGAATCCTGAGCTCCTCTGCACCTCCACCTTCTCTGCCGATGTCAAAGACTCTGCTTTCTTGTTTCAGGCCCCAAGGGAAGTCTTATCTCTTCTTTACCCAGTTTAAAGCTGAAGTGAAAGGAGCCAAGATAGAGTATGCCATGGCTTACGTAAGTCCCAGCTGATCCCCTGGAAGCAGGTGTGTGGGAGGCTGCTATAACACAGGAATTGGACGTGGAAAACATTTATTAGACATCTGTGCCATAAAATGTACTCCGTCACGTCCCTCGTTAGAGAGTGGCGGCAAGTCAGGAGAGCGGCTGCAGGTAGGCTCTCCCGCACCAATTTATTTCTGCTCCCTCAGTGCCATCGGGTTGCTGCTGGCTTTGCCAGCGTCGGGCGATTCCAAAAGACACCATCCTGCCCGGGTGCGCTGCCCAAGACGGGTCTGGTTTGCCTCAACAAATTGCATGTGACCAAGTAAATAAAACCTCTGCTGGTGCTTTTGTTCATTCTTCCGTTTCCCAGTCTGCAGTGGTGAGGCTTTCAGTCACCCAAGCGACACATGTTTGTGGTTTAATAGGAAATGGAAAAATAGTCCGAGATTTTCCTGCAGGTTTCCTATGTGGATTTAATTATTTCACTCCACATTACTAAAATCCACGTTCATTCTTCAAAATGCACCGTCGTTTGCTTTACATAGAGTAGCTTCTTGAACTGCCTCAACTGCTTAAACCTTCTTCCTTCCCATTTCAGTCTCAAGCTGCAGTGGGTGGACAAAGTGACGTCCCCTTAAAACAGGAAGAATTTGAAGTCACCGAAACAACAGGTCTGTGACCGAGAGAGCTATGTGCGAAGGGGGCTGGAGTGGGAGACAAGCCTGGCTGTCAACCAGGAGACGAGTGTTTAAGCTTAATGCAGATAGATGACGATGTATAGGAGGACGGTGCTTGTTCCGGACTCGGGGGTATCATGCCCTTGATCCATAGCTGGCAGCAGGATTTTGCAGGTCCCGTTCCAGTGTGAATGTTAAATTAGCACGGGGGAAGAACGGGATTATCACAACATGCTTGTCGCATGCATAAGAAGGAAGTGCAATGCCCGACTTGCTGGCTGTATCGTCCTGGAAGGGAACCAGCAGGGCTGTTTTGTTCTTGCCTTACCATCTGTTTATCCTGTGCTTGTTTTCTCTCTTTTTAGTGTCTCACAGGGATGGCAAGTTCCGGTTTGAACTGTCCAAACTCATGATTGTAGCAAAAACGCCCCGTGACGAGCTGTGACCCCGAGGCCGGTGTTGGGCAGGGTGATTTGGGCGGAAGAGCATGGCAGATAAAGAGGATTACTTGTTAACTGCGGGGTTTTTTTGGTTGGCCAAACCTTTTATGTTTTCCATATTGAAATGTGCTAGGGTCCAACACAAGTGGGACTTGGAGGTGTTAAGACAGATGCGTTCTGTCTTGTGTCAGAGTAACAATGTGCTTTGCAGCTGGAAACCTCCTCTGAGACTCCTGATCTGCAGCCAGCCATTCTGTCGCCCGCTTTCTGCTTGGTTGATCTGCTGAATATGGTAAAGCTCCCCTCGAACGGGGGCTCCTTATCTCCCTTGCTAGGAAGAGCACTGCAGAAAGATAAGCGGCTGGATTTAAACAGGGTTTGCCAAAGGGAAGTTGTTAACTCTGTAGTCTCTGGAGGGGAGAGAGGATTTCTCTCTTTGCGAGCGTGACAGGAGGAAATAATTAAATTGGGTGGGAGGGGGAAGGAAGGGATAGAGTTGGCCAAAGCTATCTGACTCCTTGTTGAGTGCGGCTACCATAGACCGTGGCTGGCTGCGCGATGGATGGAGGATGTTCTGGCCCTGCCCTAGTGCAGAGCGCGGGTTGGGGTAACCTGGCGTGGGGAAGGCAGAGCTGCTTATTCTGACACAACCCAGGAATCAATCCAAGCAACACTTTTCATGTCTCAGTACAACTGCAGGACTATTTTCTACGTTACAGAAGTGATTTTTTTCTTATCTAGAGTAATAAAAGGGAATGTGGAATTCCTTTCCTGTGTAAATACAACGCAAATAAAGAAATAAAGCATCATGCTCTCGCCGGAGTTTGCTCAGCTCTGTGCCTCCTGCCCTCCCCAGCCGCACGCCCAGTGAGTGGCGTGACCGTCGGCGTTTGCTTGACCGGGAGGAGGCGAGATGCCACGCGGGAGGTTGGAGGCTGCAGAGGCTTTACGGGGGTTCTGCCCACCTGAGAGGTGTCCCAGCGGGTGAGAACAGGGCTCCGGCCCTGAGTTTGCATAACCCAGCACTGTCATGACGGCTTCTTTGCTCAGAGGTGATGCCCGGTGATGGCTGTGGTCTGGTGTAGGCGATGGCTGTGGTGTAGGTGATGGCTGTGGTCGTTGGTGGGTGATGGCTGTGATTATTGGTAGCTGTTTTCCCCTTTTTTGGGGAGTTCCCTGTTTTTTGGGAGTCTGGGGCTGCTTTGCACTGGGGATTTGACAAGCCCTGTTTTCCAGGCTCTTCCCAGATGCTCCTTTCTCTGTTGTGTGGCTCCTGTGGGATCTCTGGATGCCTGCAGGGCCCAGGAGTGCTGTTGGGCGGGGAGGTGCATCCCCGGCGTGCTCCGACCTGAGCTCCGAGCTGCGTTTAGGGTGCTGGTGTTGCTGGTCTCTGGCTTTTCTCCCTGTTTAACCAGTTGTTTGGAGGGAACCAGACCAAAGGGAGTTGAAGGGACTTGTTTCCCAGACTTGCACAGCCCCGGTTGGGATGGGAAACCCAGGCCATAAAATGGCCCTTCTAGCAGAGAGTGCGCCCTGCGGAGCTTCCTGGGACAAAAAGGCAAGAGTTTGGGAATAAGGTGGGTGTTTGCTGTGGGGTGCGGGGGAAAAATTTCAGATTAGACACCTGCAGGTGAAGGAAAGCTGGTGCCGGGCGTTTGGTGGCTTGAGTGTGGTCCTAGGAGGTATGAAACCCTGGGGACAAAGGGAACAGCCGTGAGTCGGGGCTCACACGAGCAGAAACGTTTCGTGCAATTAAGGAGCATCTTGCAGCTGACGCCGACGTGCACCTCGAGAACAGAACAGCGAAACCTTTCTGGCTGTCAGCGCAGCAGCCGCGGCCGCCGCATCCATCAGCCCCGTTCCGCTTTGCCTGCTCGCCGCATCTGCCTCCACCGAGCTGTTTCCAGCCCCGGCTCCTCTTCAGCACATCCCTGACAGCTGCCGCGAGCCCAGGGGGGGGAACGGGAACGTCTGTTCTCAAATGCCGCGTGCCAAAGGCCGGTTTCACCCTGCCCTCCCCGAGGGACCAACAAACACCTTGGCAGATCTTGGCCACCTTCTCCTCCCTGCGCACCTGTAAATGTGCTTTACCCCCACCCTGCGCTGCGCGGCGCAATTAAATTAGCTGCCGTAGCTGGAGCCAGGCCTATGAGATGACAGAGATAGGGGCTTTATTTCTTTCTTTTTAAATCTTTAAGGCTGAAAGTTATCGGTGCCTCGAGCCAGCGGTGGAAAGGGAGCCGCGAACGGGAGCCGCGGAGCCGCTCTCTGCCCACGAGCGTTGGCAGCCTCCTGCGCCTGGAGACATCCCATGGAACAGGAGGCACAAGAAGGTTGCGGAGATAAGGCCGGCTGAGATTGTGCGGCGTCTCGTATGCTAAAAGGGCAATTTTTCAGCGTTCAAAGCCGAGATCGGCGCGTTGGAAGCGGGCCATGGCTGGTGCGTCCACGCTCTGGGAGCACGAGGCTTTTCCACCGTGCCGGTATCCAGTTCTGCGAAGTCGCTCGTTGCTTTCTGCCCATCGGCGTTGTGCTTTTTTAGCTCCCTCCCGCTGTGCGGCGAGGGGGACGCAGAGGAGCACGTGTGGGTGTCTGCGTGGGAGCAGGATTTGCTTTCCCCCACCCCCTCCCCGGGACCCCAGACCTTTGCTCTCGGTTTGTGGTGGGTTTTGCGCCGCGTTTTCCTCCCACCCAGTTCAGCCCTGACCACGCAACGCCGGGAGCTGCCGTGCCACGGAGCGGGGGGGCAGCCTAGCTGGCAGCGGTGCTCGGGGGGGACGGAGAGTGAAACCCCCCCAGGTTGCAGAGAGAAATCGCCATTTAAAAGGCAAAACCAACTGCCCCCGGCGCTCATTTTATCGCTGCCAACCGCCTTCGTAAGGACTGCGCGGAGCACCCAAGCCAAACAGCTGAGTTTATTTAAATAACTCATCAGGGCTACAGAGTTTGCTAAAAAATAACCACCATAACTCGAGGACACGTAAAACGTACAAAATCCCAGGAAGAGCTTTGGGTAACCACCGGGGAAGGCGTCGGAGCCATCACAGTGGGACCATCGCAGGAGGCTGCTGGTGGTGGTGGTGGGGAGTTGGGTTTTGGATGAACGCGTGTCCCTCTAGCTCCCTCCCTGCCCCAAGGGACAGCCGCTTGCCCAGGCGAGGTGGGATCCTTCTGGTCTCAAGGACTTGTCTTTGAGGAGGCCAAAGCCCATTCAGAAGCACCTTCCTGCACTGGGGAACACAAGCCTGGACCGTGATTTGGTCCCACCATGTTGTGGAACGGCTGAAAGGCAACCATGGGGCTCCACAACCATAATAGGGTCTCACAACTGTTCATCCAAGCAACAGCCCACCCCCTCAGAGACACCTTCGAGGTGTTACACACCACGAGTCTTTGGTTTTTCCCCCAGGAGGATTACGATAGAGTTCAAGGTGAGGAGTCCAGTTCCTTGGACTCTAAGAGCACTTAGTGGGCAAAGGAAATCAAAACTGTACAGCAGGAGCCCAGAAGGCCAGGATCACCTGGAAAGGACTCAGACCAGCACAGGGAGGGGTTTGCAGACCCTGGGCAAGGGTTAGACAAAGTCAGGAGGTTCAGTCTTTTGTAGAAATGAGGAGAAAATGAGTTAGGACTACAGAGGAGAAGAGGACATCAAGCCTAGTGATGGTCAAAACAGGCGTACGTCCTGTCTTCGGTCTCACAGGAAGCAGAGTCCGCTGCCAATGGCCCATCTTGGCCAACTTCATATGTTGTCCTCCTCCAGCATCTTGTTAACCCCTTCGCAGATCCTCTTCAGGTGGGTGCGGTAGGGCTCAGATGGGCCGTAGAGAGCTGAGAGGAATTCGTAGTCCGCAAAGTGATTGAAGACGTGGTTGATGCGGGAGTGGGATTTGGCCGTCAGGTGGCCGTTGACAGCCTGGTGCAGCAGGTCCCGGCACTCTGTCAGCACACCCGACATGACCCTGCGGTCGAAGGTGAAGTCTATCTGGTGGAAGCTGACGGCCGTCATGGCCAAGGTATGCACCTTCTTGCGGAAGCGCTCCATCACCAGCAGCTCCTCAGGGTTGAACTGCCCATTGCGGTAGAGCACGCCCAACTTCATGACGATCTTGATGAGGTTTTTGATGATCTTCTGGGCCTCTTTGCGGTTATGGGTGTACTCCTTGGTGGCCCGGTAGAGCTCATCCAAGATCTCGCTGCTGGTGTCGTCAATGAAGACGTTGGCTATGGTCTTGGTAGCCATCTTACTCAAGAGCTTCTTCTGGGCCTGCAGGGCCAGGTTCTTGGTGCTGAAGGTGTCCATCTCTGCAGAGGGAAGAGGCACAGACAAGTTCAGCCCATGCCCTGGATCAGACCCTGTCCCCTCTCCTCCCCACGCAGCCTTCTGGGAGGAGAAAGAGCATCTCTGGCCAATGGCAAGACAGAGAGGAGCTCCCGGGTGCCAGGGCAGGCGAGGGCTGAGCTCACGCCCCGGGTTTTTGTTAGTGGGATGAGTTACAGGGTGTTCCCACCTTCCTTCCCCCAAACTCTGGGGAGAAGCTACAGCGCGACAGGCAGCGTCGGAGGCGAGCGAAGTCTCCCTACCTGAGCATCACCCGCGACCTTCCATCCCCGTCTCCCTCTGGTGACCGGCGCCGCCCTCCTCCCCCGTGCAGGAAGAACTCTTGCCCCATCATTAACTTTTTTTTTTTTTTTCTTCCTTAAAACCTGACTCATTTCCTGTAGGGTGAGCTGGGGACAACCCAGGTGATGGCTGAGTCACTCCCCCACAGCTGGCGCAGCCCGGTGCACGCCGAGGCCGGAGCAGCGCCGCTGGTTTGCAGCACCCATTGATGTGCCGCGAAGCCCTCTTCCTCGGTGCTGCCTGCCCCGGTACGCCCATGCCATCAGAGCTCAGACTCGTTCTGCCGCTGTCTCGGCTTCCTCCGGAGCCAGCAGGAGCACCACGCAGAGGTGAATAATTCAGCAAGGCAGAAAACTCACCCCTTGCTCACCTACAGCGCCT